CCACCGCCTGGGCCTTTCTGTACCTCCTCGCTAGTCAAACATGGCCAAGTTCCCCGGGACCCTGTGGCCAGGGACACCGGGGTGCCAGGGAGGGTGGGCAGAAGGAGGCAGAAGATGGAAGGCTGGGGAGTGAGGGGCGGGAGCCTGACCACCTCTGCTTCCAGACCACACTGTGGCCCCAGGAGACACCTGTGAGGCCCAGCCCACCGGGCTGCTCCAGGGGGTCTATCCAGCCCAGGTCGGACCAGGCAGGAGCCCTGACTCAGTCTGTTGCCTCCAGCTCCGCCGGCCCCAGCCTCCTCCTGGCTCCCTGTTCAGAGATCTGAACTTGGCCTTCCCAGAGTTCACAGCCACTGGATCAGGCCAGAGAGGGACACCAGCCTGTTGTCACAGCACAGGCCCTGGAGGAAGGAGGAGGAAGCCTTTGGTCAGAGTATCTGCCTGGAACTCCACTGTTCAAGGGTCTCCTTTGGGTAAAGGCAGCATTAAGTTATTTCTGTTCCACAGAGACGGAGGCACCTCAAACAACATACTTCAAAGGAAAAAAGAGTCAAGGGCCAAATACGTTTGCAAACACTGTGGAAAGCACACTAAAGACTCTGAGAAGACCTACATGGAAGAACCCACTTTAGCTTGTGTAACTCCCACAGACATTTTAGCAGAGCCTCGACAGTCTACAGCTCCCAGAACAAACTCTGACCATCAAAAGCCCCATCAGGCCAGGCGCTGTGGCTCACACCTATAATCCTAGTAATCTAGGGGCTGAGGCAGGATCATCGCTCAAGGTCAGGAGTTCAAGACCAGCCTGAGCAAGAGCAAGACCCTAGTCTCTACTAAAAATAGAAAGATTTAGCTGGAAAACTAAAAATATATAGAAAAAATTATCCGGGCATGGTGGCACATGCCTGTAGTCCCTCCCAGCTACTTGGGAGGCTGAGGCAGGAGGATCACTTGAGTCCAGGAGTTTGAGGTTGCTGTGAGCTAGGCTGACTCCACAGCACTCCAGCCCGGGCAACACGGTGGACTCTGTCTCAAAAAACAGGAAAAAAACCCATGGCCGGGCGCGGTGGCTCACACCTGTAATCCTAGCACTTCTGGAGGCCGAGGCAGGTGGATTGCTCAAGGTCAGGAGTTCAAAACCAGCCTGAGCAAGAGCGAGACCCCGTCTCTACTATAAATAGAAAGAAATTAATTGGCCAAATAATATATATATATAAAATTAGCCGGGCATGGTGGTGCATGCCTGTAGGCCCATCTACTCGGGAGGCTGAGGCAGGAGGATCGCTTGAGCCCAGGAGTTTGAGGTTGCTGTGAGCTAGGCTGATGCCACGGCACTCACTCTAGCCTGGGCAACAAAGCGAGACTCTGTCTCAAAAAAAAAAAAAAAACCTCCCATTAAATGCCCATGGTGACAACCCAGAGGAGAGACTGAGGCAGTCAAGCTGTGGAGGGTCACGCCAACCCCCTGCACCTGGTGGGAGGGTGGACACAGCACGAGCTCTGCATGACACCCCAGCCGCAGGCCAGGCACGTCCCCACCCAAGGCGTTGCTGGAACAGGGCCAGCCCTCGCTGCCCGCACCTCCTCCTACCGACCCACCACCAGCCTGCTCCCACTCCAGCTCCTGGCTCTCTCTGAACTGCCAGTCCTCCCCCGAGACCCCAAGTCCCCCCTGAGGCCATGCTTCCTGCTCCTAAATCCCAGGCCGTGGTGGGACCCCGTGCCCACCCCCACAGTGGCAGCATAGCATTGGTCTGTCAGCAAAATGCCAGCCTGGGCACCCGCTAAGCCACAATGGCAGCAGTTAGCCGTTCACCTGCTTTCCCTGACACCAGGGATCAGACTCGAATCATGGGATCATGGACCCGCCACGTGGTCTCGGTGAGTAAGCTTGCCAGACCTCGTCTGGAAAGTGGGGCCAGCAGAGCTGCCCATCACTGGGGGATTGCAGGGATTCCACGAGATGAGACATGCCAAGCGCCAAGCCCAGGGTCTTCTCTCTACTCACCGCCCTCTAGGGCTCCTGCTTCACTCCGGGTAAAAGTTCAAGTCCTGAGAGTGGCCCTCCAGGCCTTGCATGATGTGGCCGTCACCTCCCCGTCCTCACTCACTCCCCTCCAGCCACATGGGCCTCCTTAGGTTACTTGTTCAGTTCCCTTGAACAAATCAGGTCTGGTGCAACCTCAGGGCCTTTGCACTGCCTGTTCCCTCTGCCTCGTCACCCTTTCCCCAATATCCTCCACTTCATTCACGTCTCTGCCTAAATGTCGCCTCCCCAAGAGGTCTTCCCCGACCTCCCTCTATAAAAATAGCGCCCTGGCCCGGGTCACTGCTTCGCACCATGTAAAATGTGATACTGTATCCACTTGATGGCATGTTACTTTCATCTCTGCTAAAATGTAAGCTCTGTGAGAGTGAAGGCTTTGTCTTTTTCCCCTCCCTATACCAGGAGGCACAAAGGTGCCCAATACGTGCTCACAGTGTGTGGAGGCCACGGCTAGGGCTACCTAAAAAGGGCTGCAGTCTGCTGTGACGGGAGGGGACACCTCCGCTGCCCTTGGGACCTGACAGCCCTGCGAGGGATGGGGGCCACGGGGCGTCTGTAGGAGAGGGGTGAATGCTGGGCCCAGGGGCTTCTCCACTAACCATGCCGGGAGAGGACAGGGCGACCCGGAGGAGCCTGGGCACAGGCTGGTCCCTCTGCGCGGAGCAGTGCCCACACCCCTCTCCTGCCCACAAGCTTCCGGCCCCTCCACTGTCCCCTCCTCCCAGAAGCATTCCGTGATTCCCACCCCTCCCTCCCTGGCCTGGGTCAGGTGCCTCCACTACGCGCCCAAGGGCCCCGTCCTCTCTGAAGGCAGCTATTTGTTTGCTCCTCCGTTTCTGACCAGGCCGAGCTCCCCGAGACGGGGCTGGGCTCTCTTGTTTTCTATGGCAGCCACAACTTCCTCCCAATAAACATGTCACACGGGTAACAACAGCCACAAGAGCTTCTGTGCTGAGGACGGTACAGGCCTTTTACGAGCATTGCCGGTTGAATCTAACCCTCGCCACAACTCCACTCAATGAGAACTGCCATCCCATTCCTCAGCTAGAGAAACCGAGGCTCAGAGACTTTAACGTCACGTTCAGAATCATGCAGCCTGCCAGCGGCAGGCAGGATTCTCACCCAGGCCTCTGTGGCCCGGCAGCCAGCACTAACCACTCCAGCAAGTGTCCATGCGGAGGGCAGAATCCACGGCTCCGAGCCGGGTCCCCAGGGGCTCCCACGTCCCCACAGACCCCGGGCTGCCCCAAGTGTCACTGAAATTTGAGCTGCCTTTGACTGTCAAGGCCTAGAGAGCTGGGCTGTAGGAGAGTTGGGGTTCAGGTCCCCAAACTCTGCAGGCTAAGTGTCTGTTTGTTGACTGAACAATGCCCCCCGCCCCCACACAGCAGGGCCAGCCCCCCAGCCCCAACCTCCACTGCCCGGGCTCCAGTAGCTGTGTGGCTTCCTCAGGGAGCACACCCTCTCTGGGTCTCAGACTCCAACTGTTAAAGGGAGACGGACAAAGGTGGCGTGAGTTGGGAGGACAGAGTTGGGTAGAGACAAGGAGTCGGCATGGGCTGTCCTGGGCCTTGTAGGATGTTGGGCAGCCTATATCTGCTAGACGCCAGCAACGCCCCTGAGCCATGGCCGGGAACATCTCCAGACACTCTCAGCCATCCCTGGGGCCGGGGAGGCAAAACTGGCTCTGCATGAGAACCACTGCCTCAACCCTGCTCCTTGGTGGGGCAGGCAGTGGGCAGCGTGGAGTGGTCCAGTCGCTGCAGCCCCCAGGGGGGTGGAGTCCAGACCCGAGTCTGCCCAGAGCTAGTAATAGTAACTAGGATGATAGCAGATGCTAACATAGCACCCACTACGTGCCAGGCACCCTGGGTATATTCACTCCTTAATCCTCATGAGAACTCTGTCGGGGGAGGATTTGTAGATGGGGAACCTGAAGCACAGAGAGGTGGAGTGACTTGCCCAAAGTCACACAGCTGGTAAGTGGAAGAGCCAGAAAATGAAACCAGGTCCCCTGGCCCCAGAGTGTGCCCGTCTACACCCTCCAGCTGCCTGCCCAGGGTCCCCACCAGGGCTGCAGGGGTGAGGCTGGAGGACAGAAGAGGAAAGAGAAGCTCTGGATTCAGCAGGAGGAGAACCTTCACAGGTGGCACCTAAGGACCTTCCATCCTGGGAGTCCCTGACCCTAATCTCTCAGCAAGGTTTTATTAAGTGCCTACTGTGTGTTTGCTGCCTTGGCCAAGACAAGAGTAATGAAACTCATCGTGAGCTGTTGACACATGACCCCCATTCCTTCCTGCTGAGACTCTGTCCTGCCTGGGACACACCTTTCCCAGCTCTTACCCAACAGGCAGGAACTGAGCACCTACTAGGTGCCAATATTTGCATCTGCATTTAACAGACACACAAACTGAGGCTCAGAGAGGCCAAGCAACATGCCAAGGTCACACAGCGCTGAGCAGAACTTGAGTGCTTTGCGCCTTCACCTCTCTAGGTCCCCCCCTTGAACCTGAACTTGCCTACCAGAGGCTCCAGCCTGCACTGGGCCCCTCACGGGAAGCATCGGCATGTTGTTGTTCAAGTTCACAGCCCTGTTGGGTGAGCCTTGTATTCATAGAACCCGGGGGCCAGAGTACACATTTGCCGTCTCTGGCGGTTTCTCCGCTTGCTGGAGCCAGGACACAGCGCTGACAGGGCCCAGCAGGCGCGAGACTGGGCAGGCGTCTCTGTTCCCCCGACACCACTGCCCGGCTGACCCTCTGGAGGGAGAGCTGCTTCCCTCCCGGTGGCCACAGGCCCTGTCCGCCTCCTTCTCCAGCTGGACGCCACCCGCCCCCGTCCTGCTGCCCTCTCGGTCCTCCCCAGTGGCCTCCTGCCTCCCAGTCCTGGCCCGCACCAGACACGGACACCCTGGGACAGCAGCCAAGCGCCGCTCCATCTGGGCACCACTTACCTGGGGGTGTGTCAATGATGTCTGGGCAGATAGGCCACCTGCGGGGTGTCTGGTCCCCGACACCAACAGAGCGCTGGCCCTAGATGAAGAATCGGAGCTTAGGAAGCCAACGTGGGTCCCCCAGCCTGAGAGCCGCTGCGGGCTCAGCACCCTCCTCGCACACACAGGCTACGGATGGCACACCCTGCTCGGGTTTCTCACTTGGGGGGTTATTCACCCTCTGCTAGGTGCCCCAGAACCCCCTGGGATGGCCATGGTGGCAGGACACAGGCAAGAGGCCCAGGGACAGCCACTTACCTGGATGGCCCAGTGGCAGCCGCCGGGCCCGAGCAGGGCAGGGACCCGGCCGGAAGGCCTGGTGTCGGGCGTGCTCTTGCCAGCGGGTTTCTCTGAAACGCAACCTATTTCCTTGACGTGAAGACAGGAAAGGGGGCTGCGCTTGAAGCTCACATCAAAGTCACAAAGTGCTGTGTTCAAGGAAAATGGCAGACCACGTGCTCAGGGAGGGCAGAGGGCATTTCCGGGGCCAAACAGTGCCCGCCCCAGCAGCGGGGTGGGACTTTCGGGAGGGGAGGCTGGCTGAAGGCAGGGGCTGCGCAAGGAGGCGGCTTCCGGCAGCAGCCCCAAGCCTGAGGAGGGGAAGGCGGGACCTGTGTGCTGGACTGGCAGAGGGAGGGGACTCGCCAGCGTGCATTGGAACCTGGGATACTCCCACTTTCCCCTTCTAAGGGGCATCTACTGGGGGCCTGCCCCTGGCTGAACCACCCGCAGGAGTGATGTATTTATTCCATGGGCAGGTTAAAGCTGCGGGAAGGAGGAACCCTCTAAGTTAGCCCATGCTCTAAAGCCCATGCTCCTTCTGCGTGCCAGGCATCAGGACAATTGATGACAGCCTGTCCCTGCCCTCAGATGACTCCCAAACTAGAGGGGGGCAGCTGGGTCCACAGGGAGAGCAGGCATGGGATGGTGTGTACAGTGTCCAGTGTGTATACACACACAGGTGCAGCCTGGGGCTGTCAGGAAGAGTTCCAGGAGGAGTCAGCCAAACAGAGACACAGAGACAGGGTGTCTCCCCAGCACCTGCACAGTCCCAGCCTGACCCCACCCGGGGCTCACCCCACATGACTGCATCTGGCTGATCACCACCTCCCACTCTGGCCACTGCCTCTCCCTCATACTCCTCCCCTTCCTTCCCTCATACTTGTGCACCCACCCTAAGGGTACCCACCCACCCTCGGGCTAGGGGTCCCACCTCATATCCACGCCCTCAGATGGGGACCCTCATAGCTGCTCACTGAGCTCCATCTCTCCCTCCAGTGCCCCAAGGCCTCTGGGGCCCACTCACCCACCACCTCCTTGCCCTCTTGGGCACCCAGAGAGGTCTTCACAGCTCATCCACCTGTGGGACTGCCCTGGGCCCACTGTTAACTCTCCAAGAACCTTTCAGCTCTGAGTCCTGCCATCCTCATGGTAAGTGGGCTGGACTCCCCAACTTGCCCAAGGTTCCCTCCATGTCCCACCCTAGGTCTCCTTCTTGGGGACCTCCTCCCCAGGTCTCTACTCTCCTCTAGCTGACTGAATCCTCCTTCAGACTGGGCTCTGGGCTAGGATACTTTCTCCCACATAGATTCTCCTAAAGCTAGAGACATCAATTTACCAGACTCCAAGCTATGCTCTAGTGCCATTATGATTACTATAGTAATTAAAACAGCATTACATTAGCACAAGAACAGAGACATAGACCAATGGAACAGAAATGAGAACCCAGATATAAAACCATCCTCATACAGCCATCTAATCTTTGACAAAGCAGACAAAAACATATGCTGGGAAAAATAATCCTTATTCAATAAATGGTGCTAGGAAAACTGGATAGCCTCATGTTGAAGACTGAAACAAGATCCACACCTTTCACCTCTCACAAAAATCAACTCATGGTAGATAAAAGACGTAAACCTAAGGCATGAAAGTATAAGAATTCTAGAAAAAAATGTTGGAAAAACTCTTATACACATTGGCCTAGGCAAAGAATTTATGAAGAAGAACCCAAAGGCAATCACAGCAACAACAAAAATAAATAAATGGGACCTGATCAAATTAAAACCTTCTGCACAGCCAAAGAAACTACCACAAGAGCAAACAGACAACCTACAGAATGGGAGAAAATAGTCACGTTACACATCCATAAAGGGCTGATAACTAGAATCTATATAGAACTCAGGAAAATCAGCAAGAAAAAAATCAAACAGCCCTATTAAAAAGTAGGCAAAGGACATGAACAGAAACTTTTCAAAAAAGATAGACTAATGGCCAACAAACATGAAAAAATGCTCAACATCTCTAATCATCAGAGGAAATGCAAATCAAAACCACAATGAGGCATCATTTATCTCCAGTGAGAATGGCCTTTATCAAAAAGTCCCAAAACAATAAATGCTGGCATGGATGCAGAGAGATAGGAATACTTATACATTGCTGGTGGGACTAAAAACTAGTACAACCTCTGTGGAAAGCAATATGGAGATACCTTAAAGAGATACAAGTAGATCTACCATTTGATCCAGCAATCCCATTACTGGGCATCTACCTAAAAGAACAAAAGACATTCAATAAAAAAGACATCTGCACTAGAATGTTTATAGCAACACAATTCACAATTGCAAAGATGTGGAAACAACCCAAGTGCCCATCAATATATGAGTGCATTAATAAAATGTGCTATATGTATACCATGGAGTTCTACTCAGCCACAAAAAACAATGGTGAACTAGCACCTCTTGTATTATCCTGGATAGAGCTGGAACCCATCCTACTAAGTGAAGTATCCCATGAATAGAAAAACAAGCACCACATGTACTCACCATCAAACTGCTATAAACTGATCAACACTTAAGTACACATATAGTAATAATATTCATCAGGTGTCAGACACATGGCGGGGATGAGGGGATGGGTATATACACATCTAATGGGTGTGGTGTGCACCGTCTGGGGGATGGACACGCTTGAAGCTCTGACTCGGATGGGGCAAAGGCAATATACGTAACTGAAACATTTGTGCACCCATAATATGCTGAAATAAAAAAAAAATTTTTCAGTTAGAAAAAAAGAGATTCTCCTAAAGCTGTTTTTGTTAGAAGCGTTGTCTTCCCCTGCAGGTATAAGTAAACTCAGGATGCAGGAAAAATCTTTGTATCACTGCTCCATACTCTTTTCTTGGAGTATTGAGAGAAGACTCCAGAACACTGAAGAGAGGAGAAACTACATCATCAGAATCATATAAATATAGCAATAATAACAGTAGCACTTATCATGTGCCACACAATGTTGTAAGCCCTTTACAATTAACAATCCACTTAATTCATTTTCCAGATGAGGTAAGTGAAGCCCAGAGAGGTTAAGTGACACAGCAGTCCCCAATCTTTTTAGGATCAGGGACCAGTTTCATGGAAGACAATTTTTCCATGGACTGGGGAAAGGTTTTGGAACGATTCAAGTGCATTACATTCATTGTGCGGTCAAACCTCTCTGTTAATGATAATCTGTATTTGCAGGAGCTCCTGAGCGCTAGCACCACCGCCTCAGCTCCACCACCTCAGATCGTCAGGCATGAGAATCCCATAAAGAGCACACAACCTAGATCCCTCGCACTGGCAGTTACAGTGATCTCATAGGAGGCAGTTTATGCGGTGATGCGAGTGACGGGAAGCGGCTATAAATACAGATGCAGTTTCCCTCTCTTGCCCGCTGCTCACGTTCTGCTGTGCAGCCCAGTTCCTAACAGGCCAAGGGGTTGGGGACCTCAGAACTAACAGATGCCAGTGGCCAGGCAGTCTGGCCCCAGCCCACACTGGGAGACATAAAAGAAGACAACTTTGGTTGCAAAATATTCTCCCTGTGGGGGGCCAGGACTCCAGGGAGCTGGAGGCTGAGCCAGCACTTGGGGCACCATGGAGGCAGCATTTGGAGCCCACTGGATGAGGGGCCTCTGTGTGGGTGGGGGGCCTCCAGTCTCAGGGTCTCCAGGCCCTGAGGAGCGGAACTTCCAGCCTGCCCTACCACCGTGCCTCTTCCTGTCCCAGAGGCTGGTCCCGAAACTGCAAAGGAAACTGCAAAGGAAAGCCGGTTCTGAGATTGGGCTGCAGATAATCTAGATTGGCCTAAAGATAAGGTGTCTGTTCTGCCAGAGTGGAAGGAGGTGGATTCCATTTCTGAATGTTTACAGAAAAGGGTGAACGGATGGAAACATGGGCTGGGAAAGTTGCGGTGCGTTTGCCCCGTTGGGTTCAGGTAAATGTTCACTCCAGACACCAAGAGGGCCTCGGAAGAAACTGATCACTCGCCTCCGCTCCCCGGGTCTTTGCCCACGCTGTGTCCCGGGCTGAACTCTCTCCCCCAGCCTCAACTGCCTGACTCTCAATCCTCTTTCAGGTCTCCCATTAAATGTGGCTTCCTCCCAGGTTTTCCCATGCTGAGACTGGGCAGAGGTGGGGCTTTCCATTCCACCCAAGGAGAGCAGGCCAGGTTTGGCCCCAAGGCTAAGCAGACGCCGCCGGGCCACTGCTGGGAAACACCAGCAGGTAGACTGGGGGTGGAGGTTCCAGCCTGCGAGGGTCGAGGGTCGGGGCTACACCTCAGCACGGTGACCCCCAAAGAAGGACAGCCCCCACCACCCAGGGCCCTCCTGCAGTCCCTCCCACACAACTGTGTGCAGCCCCACTGCCTTCCCTCGGGGTGGACAAACGGTCACTTTTATCTCCTTGTCCTTTTCTGGTTCTGCCGCTTATCACTGAGGAACCTAAAGCAAGTTCCTCCGCCTCTCTGTGCCTTAATTTCCTCATTTGGGAAATGCAGGTGATTTTCCCCAGTCCATGGGAAAACTGTCTTCCATGAAACTGGTTCCTGATGCCAAAAAGGTTGGGGACTGCTGTGTTACTTAACCTCTCTGGGCTTCACTTACCTCACCTGGAAAATGGATTAAGTGGGTTGTTAATCGTAAAGTGCTTACAACATTATCTGGCACCTACCTTATAGCGCTCTTGTGAAAACTAAAATAGGCCTGAAAGCAAATGCTCCATTGTTGCCTTCATCATCATCATCATCATCTTTCGATTTTCCCGGTCTCCGCAGCGTGCAAGCGACTGACGGCAAGTCCAAGTGCAGCAACGGGGCTCCCTGCGCCCTCCAATGGCAGTTCTCGAGTATTGCACTCTGCCGAGCACAACTCAGGCGTCTCTGAAGGTTGAAAGCGAACACTGCCCTCCCCTGAAATAGCAAGTTAGTCCAAGCTGTTTTAAGTCAGAAGAGAATTGCTTGGCCAGATGTTGTGCCCTCCCCGAGGGGCTTCTCAGATGGCTGGCTCCTTCTGAATCCTTCAAACTGCCACGGCACATAATAGTGCTCAATAAATATTGCATGGATGGATGAGAACCCCACATACGTGCTGCAGGAACAGCTTGCTCAGGGCTCAAGAGATGGCCCCAGTGTTGTTACTTCCTTCACCTGTTGGCCTCCTGCTCCCATAAGTTTTCCCCTTAGGTCCAAGACAGCGACTCAGCTTCGAATCCCACTCAGGGAGCAAGAATCTGCCTCTCAGTGTTCCCAGCAAAAGTCCCAACACAGCTCATTGGCTGCATGTCCCTCCCCTCAAAGGCCCTGAAGCCAATGGGATGGGGAAGTGGCTAAGAATGAGGTCACATTCCCCACCCGACCCCCAGCACCCTCTGGAAGGCAGGAGTGGCTGGAAGAAGGAGAAAGGAGGCTGGGCAGGCAAAGAGCCAAAGTCTTGCAGAATAATAGCAGCTAAAATTCATTTATTCATTTATATTAAACACTACACTGTGCTGGCCCCAGGTAAAGCACATTTAATATTTATAATAGCCCCACCAAGTAGCAGGTTAGCCTCATTTTACAGACATAAAAACTGAGGCCAAGAGGAAACTGAGGTTGAGATTTCACAGCCAGGAAGTGGTGGAGCCTGGAATCTCCCAGCTCAAAGGGAGCACGGAGGTGCCCCAGGGCTGAACCCTGAAGTCCCCTGTGCTGTCCTGTGGCCGCCCTCACCAAGCTAGGGGCAAGTAGGCTGGACCAGCCACTGGGCTGAAGGTGGGAGGGCTTAGCGTGAGGGCAACTGACAACACCAAGGCAACCACCTCCGTAATGGAGAAAGAGAAATGAAAACGATAGCGCCAGACTGGCTCCCAGTAGGCGGGCGGATAATGGGGCGGCAGGGGGGGGGGGACTGCGGCAGAGGCCACAGGTGGCTGACCCGGCTTGTTCCTCAGTGGAGGCCCAGGGTTAGGCGGCCAATGGGGCGGGGCTGCCTCTCAGGACCAGGGAACCCAGACGTTATGATGAGGAGGGGGTGAGGGTGTGCATTCAAGCCTCTGAGAGTTTAAGGAAGAATGGCATTTGTGGTGCGCCTGCTGTATGCCCATCCCCTGGCAGCTGCATCTCATTCCAGTCTCAGGAGACCCCAGCAACCTGCTGTCGGGAAGGCCACACCGCCTGCTTCCTACCTCGGCCCCAGCACCCAGCCCAGCACGGGGCCTGCATGCAGCAGGTGCTCAGTAAGTGTTTGCTGCTGAGCAGATCACCTGACAGCACTGTAAAGGGGCAAATCATTAACCCCATTGCCAAAGTGAGGAAGCCAAGGCTTGGAGAAGGCCAAGATAGGACCAGTACCCGAGTCCAGCTGAGCCTAGCTCCCCAGGGGGCCATGCCTGCAAAATGCCTGGCTTGTGAGGTCCAGCGCAGACAGACACCAGGTGGGGCTGGTCACACTTCAGCTGCCACCTGTCCTCTCTTGGGGCACCTGCCCTGGCCAAGTACTGTGGCTGGCAGGTCACCTGGGGTAACTAGGACCCCACTCTCATGAAGTGTAGTAGTCTTCCCATCCCCCTCCCCCATGCCCCCGGCTTCAGTTTCCCTATCTGTGAGATGGGAATGGTCGTGCCCACCTCACAGTGAAGGGGTAGATCACAGAGGCCGCCCCCCCCCTCGTTGAGAGCCCCCTGACCAAGTACTGTGGTTGGCAGGTCACCTGGGGTGACTAGGATCCCACTCCCTTAATGGTAACAGCTTCCCCTTGCTCATGCCAGGGGGCTTCACCGTTCTTTGTTGTGAAGAACCCCTTAACCCTGCTCACAGCTCTAAAAATAACCACCCTTCCTCACACTCTCAATTACCCCATTTCTCTGTCCTGGTCACTCAAGCAGAAAATCACCTCTCCACGATTCTTACCAGTCTCCTTGTACAATAGTGCCATATTCCACCTCCCGGGAAAGATATTTAGTACGGCAACGTTCTCATCCCACCCTAGACTGCGATCTTGCTCAGGGCAGAATCCGTGCCTGATTGGTCTGTGGCTCCCTCATTGCATTTTTGCATTGTCTACATATGAGGTGTTCAGTGCATCGATACTTTATTAAATGAGTAAATCCATAGCTTGTCAGGCTTGTCCTTGGGTGAATGTGCTGAGTCTCCTGCTCTGGCCATCAATGTCCTGTCCCCCTAAGCATCCTGTGGTTAAAGCGCTTGGTCTTGCCCGTTCAAGATGGGGACAGGGAGGTAAACGTTTTCACAGAATACACCTCGCAGCCAGAAATGCAATGTCCTGTCCGTGGTGTTTGGATGGAGAATGTCCCCACATCACAGTAGCTTCAAGTCCTGCTTTGGCTGGCCCCGCCACCCAGCTTAGACAGGGGATTTGTGCTTCAGCTGTTTCTGTGGTCTCACAAATTTTCTGAGAGATTTCTTTTCTTCAGATTTTTGCCACCAAGTCTTTCCATTCATTATAAAAATATTATATGTCATGGGTGCCGGAGAAGATCTAAAACAAAACACAACCAAAACCATACTGCTCAACGAAATACATAGGAATTCTGAGGGTCTACTCGTTGGGCAGCGATAGGGACTAATGTCTCTGAAAGGCGAGGATTCTGCTTCCCTGACGGCACAGAGCCTCCGGGAAGCCCCCTTCCCCCACTTCCCCAGGGAACTCGGGCCACCCGCACGCAGCTTTGACTCCTCTCTGTAGGAGGAAGCTACAGTCCTGACCACTTCCTTTGGTACCTCGAGGGGCAGGGAGGAAACATGATGAGTCTGACGGATGAGCCCTGGTCAGTGAAGGAAGGTGGACTCTAGGGGGAGGTGGCCGGCCTGCATGGGCTGCCAGTCCCAGGAGCCTTGGCCTAGGGAAAGCAATGCCACTCCTGGGTCAGAAGACACTACATCCCCCATCACACGCCTCCGCCCCCTTTCTCTGGGGCAAGCTGAGCGCCCAACCCAGGGTTGGGCAGGACCTGGGGGGCCCTTGGGAAGCTGCTCTTCCTTCTGTGATCGGGAACGTGTGTCCCCAGGGATGCAGCACACGGCACAAAATTGGGAAGTGCAGACTATTTGCTTTGTGGCGCCCGCTCACAGTCAGCACCTCTGTGCTGGAGCCCTCGCACCCAGGGGCCTAACCAAACACAGTGACCACTGGAGCAGAGCCCTGGAGGGCCGCTGCTGTGCCAGCCGTTACCCCTTCATTTGCAGGATCCTGGGGAAGTCAGTGGGAGGTTCTGGGAAGTGGCTTTCAGTACTCTAACAGGCAGTGCGCCGCTGCCAGTGTGAACCAGCTGAATATCAGCCCTGCTCTCACCTCTCCCCAATGGCCTCATCCCTCCCCACCCTCATATAGTTGCATTTTTCCTTTCTTTTCTACATCCATATTCTATTTTCCAATCTTTCAGCCAGAGGCTATGTCCCCTTTTCTTTCAGTAGCCCTCCATATGGGACAGGCGTGGCCTACATTGCAGTGGCCTTGAGAGGACAGCATGGCCCAAACCAGGGACCCCAAAACCTGGCTGTGCTTCAGAATCACCCAGGCTGTGCCTGAAACCAATAGCCCAGGTCACATGAACTTTTACGGAGCGTGCCAGTGACGCTGAAGCACAACCAGGCTTAGCGGTCCCTCCCTTCCTCCTACATCCAGGATCAGCAGAAGTTCCGGGGCAACGCTGCTTCAAACACGCTCGAGTGCTTGGAAGGAAGGTCGGTGCTAGGAGCCACTCACAATGGCTGTTTCCTCCTGATGCGTTTGGTCAACCCCAGCAGCAACAGCACGATGGCCGCGAGGATGGCTGACACCGAGAAAGCAGCGATGATGATGTTCCTCTGCAGGAAGTGCAGAAGCTGCCCGCAGGGCATATTCCCATCGCGAACATCTAAAGGACAAGACAGGGCAAAGTGACCAGGACAGATCCTGGCGGAGTTACCCAGACCAGGACCGAAACTGCAAGGACAACCATTAGTTCTGCTCACAGCAGAAATGGAAACCTTGGATCTCAGCCACTGGTTCCGGAAATTCTCTTGGGGAAAGGAACTGGCTTTTTTTAGGGAAATACATTCATAAGCTGTGTGGTGGTAGGATGAGATGCTAGGGTATGGGCTGGCATGCAACAAAGGGACCAAAAAGAGGGTTCAACAAACCAGTCTGTAGGAGGTGTTCAGAGGCAGGGGGCAGGGGCATCACAGGAGGTAGAGAAGTCCTGCAGTAAAGGCTTTTAAGAACAATGGAGGCAAACACTTCCACAGGGCAGTGACATAACCTCTTCTCTGCTGCCTTCTCCCTGCCCCCCAGCTTCAGGCAATTCTGCTGTATACGCCATCTGCCTTATATGTGGATGTATGTTTGGGGGGTTCATGACTGCACCAACATGAGGCCAACATAATGCCAGAGGTGATCTCGAGCTTGTACGGCCCTCTAAGGACTTAACAGAAATCTTGAGGGTGGATTTGGAATACCCCAAGCACCAGCTTGGGAGTCCAAGGCAACCTTTGCTAGAGCTCAAAGAAGGGAGATCTCAGCTGACATCGGGGTCTCCTAGAGCTTCTGTCACCCCATTTGTGGTGTGACCCATAAAGAAAAAGAAATCAGGGACATGGGGCATAGAAGTATGACCACAGGAACCTGCTGGTTTCACATGGAGAGCTGTGAGGACAGCCAATGACCCAGGCAGGAGAGGGCTGGCCAAGGGCCTTCCTGGGCTATGGGGAGAAAATTGGGCATGTCCAGCTTCCGCCTTCATCCGTGCTATGTCAAGAGGCAGCGTACCAAGCAGCTCTAAGAGCTCTGTGCAATAATTCAGCATTTGATTTGTGAGTTAGAAGTGACAACCAGCTGTAATTTTGACAGTGGGTGGCTGCATGGGGGGAGGGGGCAGTGTACAAGGCGTGGTGCCAGCATGGGTGAGTTTCTACCTACTCTGAACAGGCCTGGGCTCAGGTGTGAACAAGGATGAGGACGCCAGCCACTTCAGGGACTAGGTCAACATTCAGCCTTTAATCCCTCCTGTTTGTTCAAAGCCTCCGTGCCCAGCACTGGCCAGGGCTTGGCAGATGATGCTCATGTTATGAATGACCCTGGCTGTGTAGAAACAACTTTAAAGTGGCACCTTCTTGAAAGGGTGGTCCAACTTCTGGAGTTACTTTAATTCTAATTTTAACTGCAGATCCTATGCTTTTGTGGTAAATTAAAGGTGTCAGTTAAAATACCATGAAAGGCAAAAGAGACATTCTGGAGCCTTCTGTACTTAAGTATCCTAAGTACTTAAGTTCATGCTATTTAGATTATTACCCATTGTAGCTGCTCCTTGAAGTGTTTCTTGATTTACAGTAGTTAATTGCTCACTTAAATCCCTGTTGAATAGAAAGGATTCTCTGTCCCTCTTCTCCTCTGAAATGTGATCTACAAAACATAAAATGTGTTTAGCTATAAACAGTCATTGGCCTGTGATCAGTTCTGCTTTTATGATGAAAGTGCCTGCTTCTAAAGTCAAAGTGAGGAGTCAGGGAGGGTTCAAGGGAAGAGTCTAAATGTGACACAGCACATCAACATTTCGGTTTTCTCTATTTTTTTAAATCTAAATTCCGAGGTAAACCACCCATAGCTGAGGCGGTGTTTCTCCCACTCGAGTGTGCACCCGAATCGCCGAGAGGCCTTACTAAAACCCAGATTGCTGGGCCCCACCCCAGGGGTTCTGATTCCGCTTACAGGACTCGAGAAAGAACCTCTCAGCCAGTTGCCGAGCCTCCCTGAGCCCCAGCCTCCATCTCCACTTGCATAAAATAGAGATAAGACCTACCCCACAGATGGCAAACTGTTCATGAAAATAATTTTTAAACCACCAAGTACTGTAAAAAATGTTTCTTGCATTGCAAGGACAAGACAGGAAAACTACACTGAAGTATGCATTTATTAGTAGAAGGACTGCAGAATAGTAGGAAGAATACACCGTTGAAATGAGAAATATTTGCATCCTAGCTCTGCCACAGGGACCTGCGGAAAGGCCTGAGTGAGTTCAGCTTGGAGAAAATGAGGAGGCCAGGACGGCTGTCTCTCCCGGATGTGCAGTGGCCCGGGGAGAGGCTGAGAGATGTTCTGAGAAGTTCCACGGAGCAGATAAGAACCAATGGGTAGGCGCTCCAGAGAAATCTGTTTGGACTGTTTAGCAATTAGAAAGTAGAGCTATGAAAAAGGGAATAGGAGAAGATGAGAAGTAATGACTCCCACGGCCCCAGAAGACTTCCAGGCCGGCTGGAGCCCCCACGCCCAGATGGGAGAACTCTGAGAGCCAGAGGGGCAGCTCTGGGTGAGTTTGGTACATCTTCCTTGGCCAGGTTCATAAAGAGACACAGAATTATCAAAATGTGATTAGGATTATTATGTGGGTGTGTGATAACAGCCTCATGAAGTTCTGATTATTAAGGAATTTGTTCCTTATTCAACTTGTCTTAGAAAAGAGAGAAAACTCCCAATTTAATATGACTCATACTTAACTTGACTTTTGAAATAACAACTTGTCAAATCAGAGTCAAGAAATGAACAACCACAGACAGAAAACTCTGGATAGTACGGAGTTGCCCGTGAAGGAGTTGTGCCTGCTTTGCTCTCTCACGGAGCTGTAAGAAAGAACAGACCTGACACTGGAACGTACATCTTTACTTTCCTTGTCTCTATACCCGGGGGAGGACTGGGGGCAGAGACAGAATTAAGAGCCACTGTCTGTGCTTATCATCAATACAGTTGCAAGTTTTCATTTACCTAAGGTTCTTTGGACAGTTTGAAGGATGTTTGTCATGTGTGATGGGCTGCGATTTTGACCATTTGTTGGATTGTTTCCTGTGGGGAAAAATAAGCACAATTATCAAGTTTTCTTCTAGTTTGAGCTGCTGTCCACAGACCCAGGCACACCTTTTACAAGGCATTCCACTTCTCAAAGGGTAATTCCCCAGCCCTCTTCCCATCCAGCCCTTTTTGACTGATTGGGGTTTTTTTTGTTTTGTTTTTTTTTGAATGATCACTACTGCCAAGGAGGAGGTGCGGTCAGTGTAGTCTGGAATTCCCGGTAGAGTGGCCTCAGCTCAGCTCCCTACCTCTGAGCATGGGTGTGGTCAGCCCCCTTACCTGGGGGGTGTGACCCTCACCACTGCCCTCAGGGTCTGCTCAGCCCTCTTCTTTCCTCACTCTCTCTACTCAGAAAATCCTTCTCAAGCAGGTCAGCCCCTCTTTTGTTCTTCCAGAGGTCCATGCAAATACAATCTAGCACTTTTTAAAGACCTTCCATTTAACCATGTGTATATCTAATAATTATTTATTGACTAGGTTGATGCCTCTATGAGCTATGAGCTCTGGGAGGACAAGAATGCCTCATTTAGCTGTCTAGCTTCCGGCACAGTACCCGTGACCGGGTACCATGTTTCCCTGAAAATAAGACAGGGTCTTATGTTTATTTTTCCTCAAGAAGACACCCTAGGGCTTATTTTCAGGGGATGTGTTATTTTCCCCTCAAAGCCTCAGCTTGCAGCACGCACAGGATGGCCGGGACCTGACGGCCCGGGGGGGGGGGGGGACCTTGGTGGTGGGGCTGCCCGCACCTTTCTGGTCACCTCTGGGATAGTAGCTGCTACCATGGGGCAGATGAGAAGGGCTGCTGTCTTCTTTACCGCTCTGCCACGAAATGTATGGGTTGTGCAGATACGCTGCGTAGCCAGGCCCATCACTAGGTCTTATTTTCGGGGTAGGGCTTATATTGCGCAAATGCTTAGAAATCCTGCTAGGGCTTATTTTATGGGTAGATCTTATTTTCGGGGAAACACGGTAGGAGAGGTCAGTAGCGAGATCTTGAGTGAGAGAAAGAGTCTTGAAGAATCTTGACTGCAGCCTCATGAGAGTCTCTGAGGCAGAACCACCTCACTAAACCTGTCTCAGGAGCCAAGACTGCTGTCATCTGAAGGCTGACCAGCGCTGGAAGGTCTGTTTCCAAGATCACTCATACAGCAGTTGGCAGAAGGCCTCACCTCCTCGCTGGCTGCAGGCAGGAGGGTTCAGTTCCTCACCACAAGGACCTCTCCTTAGGACGACGGCTTGACTGTCCTCACAGCATAGCAGCTGACTTTCGCCAGAGTGAGTGATCCAAGACACAGCAAGGCAGAAACCACAATGTCTTTTATGATCTAATTTATGAAGTAGCACACCATCACTTCTGCCACATTCTAGTCATTAGAGACAAGTCACTAAGTCCAAGCCATGGGGAGTTCCATCTTTTGAAGGGAGAGGTAGCAAAGAAATTTGTGGACATATTTTAAAACCATGATAAGACTGGAATTCCAAAAGACATTGTTGAGCAAAGGAAACATGTGCTTGTGTCCATATGAACATACGGATTTAAATCTTGCTACCTCTGGCTTTCTGCAAGAATTGTGGATGGAGAGAAGCGACTCCCTTTCTGAGGCATTTACACTGTGCAAGAAGCCTGGACTAGGGTATGTGGCCTGTCCATTAAGCAGAGATCCATGAATAGCTTCCAAGATATTAATAGTAAGTTGAGCCATACGAGATTGTTGATATTTGACCACTTTTGACCTATATAAACAATAAGTTCGAATGACTCAGAGTCCCAAGGGAAGTTTTCTAATCTAAATATTTCTTCTAATTTTGAGGTTCCTAGAAACCCCAAATCACTGATTATCAAGACAAATGTGACGATGAATTTGTAATGTGATCCTTTCTTATGAAAAAAATTATAGTATGTAATTGACTTCAAGCCTAGTTTATATTGATCACTGCATACCTTGAGGGCTGGGAAGATAGAGGAAGATAAGCCCACTTTGTACTTAGAAAGTGATTGAGCATTGAGTCTAGCTCCTATAAGGGAGAAAAATATCAAAGGTGATGTCATCTTTGGTACTGTGCAAAAGTTCTAGAAAAAAATCGATCAAAACAGGAGGTTGAGACCTGCCACAAAGGTCTGGGAGGTGAGTCACGCTAGTTCCAGGGAAGCTGAGCTCAGCAGGGTACCTGGTCCCCTCTAGTGTTACAACAGTGGTGCAGAAAGTGCTCACAGTCAGCTTCTGTATTTGAAAAAGTATTTTATACAGTGAATACTTGAAAGGGAAAACACTACCCTCATTGCTCTCCAATGGCACAAGTGGAATACACTCAGCACAAGGCAGAATGGCTAAAGGCAGATTTTTTTTCCAACCTTGGGGACACTGGGCTACTTGAGCTACTAGTCTGGTTCAAAAATCTGAGGACTTGTCTTAAGCAATAATGGGAAATATTGCTTTATGTGATGACTGTGAAACTTTCTGCCTCAACTTTTTTTTTTTTTAGACATTATCTCATTCTGTCACCCGAGCTAGAATGTTGTCGCATCAGCCTCGCTCATAGCAACCTCAAACTCCTGGGCTCAAGCCATTCTCCTGCCTCAGCCTCCCACGTAGCTGGAACTACAGGCATGTGCCACCATGCCCAGCTAATTTTTCAGTTGCTGGCTAATTTCTTTCTATTTTTTTAGTAGAGAGTGGGTCTCACTCTTGCTGAGGCTGGTCCCAAACTCCTGACCTCAAGTGATCCTCCTGCCTCAGCCTACCCAGAGTGCTAGAATTATGGCCGTGAGCCACCAAGCCCAGCCCCTCAATGTTCTTTCATGTGTCCTTAAAATAGACACAAACTATGCAGGACAACTGGTGTGTCTTACAGGCATCCTGAGTTCAAAGACCAGCACTGTCTCCTACAAGGGGCTTGACCTGTGGGAAGTAACTTAACTTCAGTTTTCATGTACATTAAGTGGGGGCATAATAATGCTGCTACCTACATAGGACTGCTGCAGGAATTAAATGAGATCATGTAGCTGAAAACTCCCACATCTTGCACACAGTAAGTGCTCAGTAAGTGGTAATTTTACCATTATAATAGTGATTATTATGGTCACAGAGAAATGTGTTGTTCATTCATTCACACATCATTCCTTTGGCAAATATTACAAAGCACCTACTATGTGCCAGGCGCTAACTCCTCATCCCTGGGGACACACAGTCTAGTGACCACACCAAAAAGTGTTATGACTTGTCTTTCGGTTATTTCAGTGTATGTACTAAAACAATATTACCAGTAAATTTAAAAGGAGAAATGGAAGCCCTTAAACATTGTGTTAATTAGAACACAATGTTTGCAAAGAAAAGAGGGAGATTACAAATTAATTCTAGTGTTAAAAGAAAACTTTGTTCTAGTTCCTCCCAAAGGAAAAATAAAGATTTGAAAGTAAACTTTCTGGAAGCAACTGAATGAAGAAATAATTTTACAAATCAAAGGATCAAGCTAAATAGTAAGCTTTCTATCCCCTGAGTGTATCATTTAATTATACTTAAAGAATGAGCAATTGCATGTTATTATCCAGGGGCTAAGGTACAATATCATTCAGGGGCTGAGGAGTCCTAGTGCTACAGGGTACACTCCTGAGCAGGCCACAACCAACATTTGCAGGCACCAGCACAAGAGTGCAAATGGATCAACAAATGGTGCTGGGAAAACCAGATATCCACATGCAAAAGAATTAAGCTGTACACTTAGCCAACACCATATACAAAAATTAACTCGAAATGGACCAGAGACCTAAATGTAAGACCTAAAACCATAAAACTCTTAGAAGAAAACATAAGGCAGAAGCTTCATGACATTGGATTTGGGAATGATTTCTTGGATATGACACCAAAGGCACAGGCAAGCAAAGATAAATAGACAAAATGGAGTTTATGAAATTTTTAAAAGACAATATCAACAGAGTGAAAAGCCACCTCACAGAATGGGAGAAAATATTTGTAAATCATATATCTGATAAGGGATTAATATCTAGAATACATAGAGAACTCCTAAAACCCAACAATTAAAAAAAAATCCAAAAATTGGCAAAGGACTTGAATAGACATTTTTCCAAAGAAGATATACAAATGGTCAATAGCACATCAAAAGATGCTCAATATCACTAATCATTAGGGAAATGCAAATCAAAACGACAGTGAAATACTACCTCGTAGCCATTAGGATAGCTACTAAAAAAAAAAAAAAACAGAAAATATCAAGTGTTGGCAAAGATATGGAGAAACTGGAACACTTGCACACTGTGTTGGGGAATATAAAATGGTATAGCCACTGTGGAAAACAGCGTGGATGTTCTTCAGAAAGTTAAAAATAGAATTCCATAGAATCCAGCAATTCTACTTCTGGGTATATACCCAAAAGAATTGAAAGCAGTTATTTGTACACCTATGTTCATAGTAGCATTTTTCACAATAGCTAAAATGTGGAAGCAACCAAAGTATTCATCAAGGGATGAGTGGATAAGCAAAATGTGGTATACACATACAAGAGAATATTGTTCAACTTTTAAAAGGAAGGAATATTCTGACATATGCTACAACATGGATGAATCTTGAGAATATTATGCAAAATGAAATGTCAGTCACAAAAAGACAAATACTGAATACTGTATGGCTGCATTTATTAGAGATACTTAGAGTAGTCAAAATCATACAGAAAGTAGAATATTGGTTGGAAGGGGATACAGAGAAGGGGGAATGAGAGTTATTACTTAATGCATACAGAGTTTCTGTTTTATAAAATGAGTTATGGAGATGGATGGTAGTGATGGTTGCACAACATTATGAATGTGTTTAATAACACTGAACTGTACATTTAAAAACAGTTAAGATGATAAATTTTATGTTAGAGATATTTTGCCACAATTTAAAACTTGAAAAAAGAGTACAACTGGAGTAACGCTTATGTATCAATAATTAAAAATTATAAATTATGGCTCAGTCTACATATCTAAACAAAGACCTGCTGCTTCCTTGGTGGTTAAAGGAGCCCCAAGTCTCCTTCTCAGTCCCCCTGACAGTATGAGTGATAGCATGGATATGCTGCAACAGGACAAAAGCTGGGCCCAGGCCCCAAGACTCCTGAGCAGTGACTGGACTCACCAAACTCACTGGGACCAAGTGGAATTTATTCCAGGAATACAAGGTTGGTTCAACATTAGGAAATTAGTATCATATACACTCTTAATCGATTTAATGAAAAAAATTACATTATTAATTCCATGGATGCTTTAAATAACCTTTCACGAAATTCAACACTCATTCCCGATTTTAAAAATACTCAAGCAAATATAACAAGTGTTCCTGAGGACATGGAAAAATCACCACCCTTGTACACTGCTGCTGGGATTATAAAATGGTGTACCCGCTATAGAAAACAGTATGGAAATTTCTCAAAAAATAAAAATAGATCTACCCCACAATCCCACTTCTGGGTATATCTCCTAAAGAATTGAAAACAGGATATTGGAGAGATATTTGCACACCCATATTCATAATAGCCAATATGTGGAAGCAACCCAAGTGTCCATCAATAGATAAATGGATAAAGAAATGTGGAACATACCACAATGGAATATTACTCAGCCTTAAAAAGGAAGGAAATCCTATCATATGCTACAATATAGATTAACCTTGAGGACATTATGTTATGTGAACTAAGCCAATCACGAAAAGACAAATACTGTATGATTCAGTTATTAAAAGTAAGCTTATGGAAAACAGTACAGAGAGTTCTCAAAGAACTAAAAATAAAACTACCATTGGATCCAACAATCCCACTTTGGGTACAAAGGAAAAGAAACCATGATATCAAAAAGATACCTGCACTCATACGTTTATCAAAGCACTATTCACAATAGCAAAGATACAGAATCAACCTAAGTGTCCATCAACAGATGACTAACTAAAGAAAATCCAATCATTGTGGTATAGACAATGGAATACTATTCAGCCATAAAAAAGAATGAAGTCATGTCGTCTTTTGCAGGAACATGGATGGAGCTGGAGGCCATTATCTTAAGTGAAACAACTCAGAAACAGAAAAACAAATACTGCATGTTCTCACTTAGAAATGTAAACTAAATAATGTGTACACATAGAGTGTGGAGTGACAGGCAATGAAGACTCAGAAAGGGACCTGGGAGGGAGGTGGATGATGGGAAATTACTTAATGGGTATAACGTATGTTATTTGGGTGATGAATACACTAAAAGTCCAGACTTCACCATTACACAGTATATCCATGTAACAAAATTATACCTGTGCTCCTTAAATGTATATGATTTTTTAAAATAAACTCATAGAAACAGAAAAAAATAATCAAACAGAAATGAACACACACATTCTCAATATGAATATATGTATATATGTATATGTATATGTGCGGATGGATGGATAGATAGATAGATAGATAGATAATCTCTTACTCATACTAGCCCTATATCCAGTATCTTCATCAGGAAAACCTAGAAGCATTTCCTCTAAGAGCAGGAACAAAGCAGATGCCCCCTATATCTCCAACAACTACTCAAGATTGTCATAGAGATACTAGCAATGCAATAAACATGATAAATAAATCAGTTAGAGGCACAATAATTGGTCAAGAAGTGAAACTATCTCTACTTGCAGATTATATACAGTATATGTAGAACTGAATAAAGTAGTAGGACATAAAATTAACATACAAAAATCAAGCCTTCCTATATCCAAACATTAAGTAGGTAAAGGATATAATGACAGAACCCCCCCCCCAATGTTAGCAACACAGAAAATTAAATTACTTAGGAATAAACTTAACAATATATGTGGAAAAATATCTGTATAAGGAAAACTTTAACATACACTGTAAGTAAACTTGAAGAACTGAAAAGACATTCCCTTTTCTGGCATAGGATGATTCAGTATCAGTTTTCCCAAAGTGAATATTGCATTATAAACTTAATGCAATACCAATAAGAACACCAATAGGCTTTTATTGAAGTTAGACAAGTTGATATCGAAGTTCATATGGAAAAACAAACATGCAACAATAACCAGGAAAATATTTAAAAAACAAAAACTACAAAAGGGGGACTAGTCCTACAAGACATTAAAACATACTATTTCAGCCTCTAACTAAAACACTGTGGTATTGTTGAACACAGAGACGAATAGACCAATGGGTCAAAATAGAAAGCCCAGGAATAGACCCAGTATATATGGGAATTTAGGAAATGATAAAGGGGGCATCTCAGATCACCGGAGCAAAGATTGGCGGTGTTGGGACAACTGGGTAGCCACGCGATGGAAGAACGGAGCCATACAGACTGATTGCGTGGACGAGACCATTCTAGCCCACATGTGGTCTTCAGTACAAAACCATCCCCTCACCTCTCCCAGTGTATGTCCAGCTATACTTATGATTATCATGCAATTTGCAAAAGGAAACAGGGCTAATTCAATGATATTAACAGTATTCGTTTTAAAGGATGGTCTGTGGTAAATTAATCACCAAAAATCATCAGAGTCAATGGTTCTAATTGCCAGGGGGCTAGTACCTGGCTGACTCCATAAGGGGCATTTTTCTTTTCTTTTTTTTTTTTAATCTTTCTTGTTCTTTTCTTTTTCTTTCTTTTTTCTTTTTTTTTTTTTTTTTTTTTTGGTAGATTGAATAAAACGCCCAAGAAATGATGATTTTTAATAAGCTCTTCCCGTTCCCCGCCCCCACCCCAGGCTGGCGCATGGTCAGGCTTAGGAACCACTTGCTCAGTTCCTGTGCCTGCACCCAGGAAAGACCACATGGGTGCCGGTGATATATTTGGCCTGGTTTTTGCTTTTAAATCTCTAAGTCTTCCGAGGGAAGAAATGCTTCGTGGGATGCTAGCTGCTCATCCTGTCTTCGGAGCCAACCTGCCTCTGCCGTCGTGGGATCCGTGGGGTCGGCCTCCGCTCGGGGGCTGGCGGAGGCGCCCACCCACGCTCCGGACGCGGAGGGAGAGAATTCCTCCCGGGCGTCGCCTCGAGAATGCGCTCGGCCCCCGCCTGCCCCCACGCGCCGGGGGAGGAGGAGCCCGCTGCCTGCAGCCAGCTTTCCCTCCCTCCTTCCGGCGCCCACCTGCCTGCAGAGAGCAACACTCTGACCTCCTCTGCGCAGTCTGTTTTACAGAAGCAGGCTCTCACGGGGTGCGGGGTGGGAAATCACTGGCACCCTAACCTTACCAGTGATTGGGGCGCTCTTCCTAACTCGGGGTGAAGCGCCCGTGTCACCCCGGCAAGCACAGGTATTTCTCTACGAGGGAGCGAGAGCGCCCTCTGCCGGGCGCTCGGCTCGCTCACATTCGCACCACTTAACGACCCCCGCTCCCATTTCATCCACGTGCCTTTACCATTCGCAGGAATCTTGTCCTCACTGCCATGGTAATATTCTGGTCCAGGTGAATTCCAGGTAACACTGGGTCCTTTGGTGAAATGCGTGAGAAGAAATAATAAGAGAAAAGGTTTTCTTCTGTACACACTTAAAAGCAGCTTGGGCCCCTTTTGTTTTACACTTTTAAGCTGAAATGCTACAATAGAATTCAACTTGTATGTGGAAACGTGTTTGAAAGTTAATACACCAATGTAGAGAGAGGTGTCATCTGACTGCTGATTGCAGAGGAGCCCAGGAAACCACCCTCAGGAAGTGGAATGCACATCTGGAATGGGACTTGAAATGCACATCTGTGCGCATAATGCCAACACGGTCTTCATTCCTCCTCCCTGCCCTGGCCATTGCATGCGACACTGGCAGATTTCTGATACACAGTTCTATCCTTATGACCTGTGATCAAATACCTATCTTAATCCCCAAAGTGCTACTTTTTCCCCACCATATGAAGCTGCTTTGGGGAAAGAGCATGTTCTTCAGTTTTGTCATCTCTATAGGTGTGCATAAGGCAAGTCATTTTTCTGCTCCTAACATCCATTGAATGGGGTATTAATGACATTGACCCTCTCAAACCACATCACACACTTGAGATTACAAAATGTGTTGAGTGGAAAGTTATCATGCTACTAAGGGCTCCTGTTATGAAGAATGGGGAACCCCACTTGCAAATTGGGTTCCTGTCCCCTGAACAGCCTGCTGATGCTGCACATCAGGGATCACCCCAAAACACACAGATGTTCACACTTGAGACCGTAGAGTCCATAGTCGGTAGAAGGTTATAGAGATGATTTCAGACATTCTTTCTTTCGTGTCTCAGTTTGGTTTTGCCCCACCAGTAGTGGGTTAAAAGAATACTGATAGCACAGCACATTTAAGATAATACACAGGGCTATAGAACTATGTACATTTATAGTGTTAGTGCCATATACTTGCTTTCTCTCACGTCTCTCTTTGTGATTGATTTGACTGCTGTTCTTGTTTCATCAAACGGTGAATCGTAATACGGAACTTTGGAAAGCACTTGCAGTAAAATTTCATCTCAAGTGAAGCAAACGAAGGCATGTTAATATAGGCAATGCAATATTTTGCTCTCTAAGTTCCTAAAACAGTTTATGAATACTGTGAATAAATGACACAAACTCAGTACATGTGGAACGTTATGCCCTAAAATACTTTGTCTTGGGAAGGGAAACTCCAACTATCTAAACCATTTCTGGAAAACTTGTGTTTGTGCAAGATATACTAGGCAGTAAACAAGGCCCACTAAAGATATGGCCCCAAATCTCATGCCACAATTTTCCTTCTTGTTCAAGTTGTCACTCTGACCCACCTCCGAGAGTGTCTCCAAAATTACCCATAAAAATGGCGCAGAGGCTATGGGGTAGAAATAGAACAGATTCTATAAGCTCAGAAAGCTCTTTGGTCATGAAACTGTTGCTAATTTTTCAGGGTTATATTTTTTTAAATATATTAAGTTCTCCTTCCCTGTTAAAGATTTCAGGCTTCTACTTTAAGAGGGAAAGTAGCAGTTTTACTTTCCCTTCTAGATTTTCTTGCTAAGACACAGAAAACAATGCTCAAAAATCCCATTCGTTTTGTACACATCCCCAGGTCATGTTCAAGGGCTCTTGGTACTTTGGTGTGGGTTCTTCTCACTTGATGGACTAGGTGCTTAGGATGGAGACCCTGGAAAATAACTGTCAGAGTCACCAGGAAGATGATGAGTTCTCCTCACCAGCCCCTCCTTGATCAATGTGCTGACCTGCAAGTTCCCGAAAATGCTGCTCAGAGAGAACCTGGTGGGTTGAGGGTGGCCCTCCAATGCCAGGGCCCACACTGGCTCACGCTGGGCAGGTCAGCAGGCCTTTAGACGCTGACAGGATCTTCCCAAACCCTGAACCAGACTCCTGCCTTCAGATGCACCGGCTCCCCTCCCGCACATGTGGGACTGGATGCAGAGACACTGGGTCACCTGCAAGGACAAAAACAAGCCTCCTGCCTCCTAGACAGCAGGTGCTAAAGCACAGCGAGTGGGACTCCAAGTGCTGCCTACCACTGTTCATTCATTCTGTCCTGGTCACCTGCCAGTCGGCCATCAATGCAGATTGCCTGAGCCTCTGTGATGGCACACGTGGAGTGGAGCAAACCCAGGGCTCCTGACATGGGGCGGCTCCCAAACAAAGGATCCACCAGGTGTCAAGAGATGTCCCCCTCGCAAGCAGGAATCAACAGGCACCGCTCTGTGGTCACAACACCTCTGCTCCGGCAGCTCCTGACCCAGAAGGAGGCATCAGGCTCACTCTCCCGGGAGCACCTTCTCACACCTGAGGCCCCCTCAGTCTCCACGCCTGACCTGCACACAGGTGCCAGGGAGGAGAGACCGCATGGCATCGGGACAGCAGATGGCTGTGGTTCAGACCCAAATTCTCAGTCTCAGCTCTCTACTACAGAGGACTTGCCTGGGCCTTAGTTTTATTATTGTTTATTAATTTTTTTCATTTTTTTTATTGTGGTAAAATATACATAACAGAAAATTGCCATTTTAACTATTTTTAAGTGTACAACTCAAGAGCATTCACAGTGCTGTGTACTGTGAACATTATACCTACTTATTCCCAGAACTTTCTGTCATCCCAAACAGAAACTCTGTTCTCACTGCTGTGGTTTGAACTTGTCCCCCAAAGTTCATCACTGAAAACTTGATCCCCAATGCAGTGGTGTTGGATGGTGGAGCCCAGTGGGAAGTGTTTTTGTCACAGGGGCTCTGCACTCACGAGTGGGTTAATACTGCAGGAGTGGGTTTGTTATCGTAGGAGTGGGTTCCTGACAAAAGGACAAATTCGGGCCCATTTGCTCTCTCTTACCCACTCTTGCACCTACACCTTCTGCCATGGGGACAGTGCAGCAAGAAGGCCCTCCCCAGATGCCAGCCCCTCAGTCTTGGACTTCCTACCTCCAGAATAGTGACCCAATACATTTCTGTTCATTATAAATCACCCAATCTGTGGTATTCTATTATAGCAGCACAAAATAGACTAACACTCATTTAGCAATAACTCCCATTCTCCCCACCCCCAGCTCTGGCAACCTCTGTACTACTTTATGTCCTTATAAATTTGCCTATTTGGGATATAAGTAGGATCATACAGTAGTTGTGCTTGGGAGTCTTGCTTACTTCACTTTGCATGTCTTCAGGTTCATCTATGGTATAGCATATATCAGAATTTCATTCCTTTTCGTGAGTGAATAATATTCTATAGTGTGTCTATAACAAGTATTGTTTATCCATTCATCTGTCAATGAACCTGGGTTATTTCCACCCTTTCCTATTTTGAGTAATACTGCTATGAACACTGGTGTACAAGCACCTGTTTGAACTTCCATTCTTAATTTCTAGTGGGTATATACCTAGAAGTGGAATTGCTGGATCATATGGTAATTCTATGTTTAACCTTTTGAGGAGTTGCCTAACTGTTTTCTACAACAGTTGCACCATTTTATATTCCCACTGGCAATGCAGGAGGATTCCTTCAGTGTATATGTCCTTTATCCTCACAATTTGTTATTTTCCTTTTTTTATAATAGCCATTCTAATAGGTGTGAATTCATCGCATTTTGCATTCCCCTAATGACGAATGAAGTTGAAGATCTCATGTGCTTATTGACCATTTGTATATTCTCTTTGGAAAACATTCACTTTGCCCATTTTTGAATTAGATTGCTTGTTTTGTCATTGTCGAGTTGTAGGAGTTCATTATGTATTCTGGATATTAATCCCTTATCGAATATGTGATTTGCAAATACTTTCTCTGATTCTGTGTGAGAAATGCCTTTTATGCACAAAAAGTTTTAATTTTAATGATGTACAATTTACCTGTTTTTTCTCTTTACTGCCTGTGCTTTTGGTATCAAACTTCAGACCAAACTTCAGACTTGCTTAATCCAAGGTCATGAAGATTTTCACTTATGTTTACTTGTAAGAGTTTAATAGTTTTAGCTCATAAATTGAGATCTTTGATCCACTTTAAGTTTTAATTTTTGTATATGGTGTAAAGTAAGGATCCAACTTCATTCTTTTGCAAGTGAATATCCAGTTTTCCCAGACCATTTATTCAAGAGATTGTTATTTCCCCTCCAATGGCCTTAGCACCCTTGTTGAAAATCAATTACCATAGAAATATGCATTTCTTTCTGGACTTTTATTCTTTTCCATTGGTCTGTATGTCTAGCCTTAAGCCAGTACACACTGTTTCCTTTAATTGGTGCATAATAGATGTACCATATAGCACACTGTTTTGATAACTGTGATTTGTAGTTAAGTTTTAAAATGAGAAAGTGGAATTCTTCCAACTTTGTTCTTCTTTTAAGGACTGTTTTGGCTATTCAGAGTCACCTGAGATTCCACATGAATCTTAGGATGGATTTTTCTATTAATGTTTATAGAAAAAAAGCCATTGGGATTTTGATAGAAATTGCATTGAATCTGCAGATCACTTTGGGCAGTTCTGAAATCTTAACAATAGTAAGTCTTTCAATCCATGAACATGAGATGTCTTTATTTGCATCTCTAATTTCTTTCAGCAATATTTTATAGTTTTCAGTTGGTATAAGTCTTTCACTTCCTTGGCTGAGTTTACTCCTAAGTATTTTATTCTTTTTGATACCATTATAAATGGAATCTTTTTCTTAATTTCCATTTTGGGTTGTTCATTTTTAATATATAGAAACACAACTGATTTTTGTGTGTTGAACTTGTATCCTGCAACTTTATGAAATTCATTTATTAGTTATAACAGTTTTTGTGGAGTCTATAGAGTCTTCAACATTTAAGATAAAGTCAACTCCAGACAGAGATGATTTTACCTCTTCCTTACCAATTTAGATACTTTCTTTTTCTTGCCTGATTACTTTGGCTAAGACTTCCAGTACTATATTAAGTAGAAGTGGTGAGAACAGGCATCCTCTCACCACTTCCTGATCCTAGATCTTAGAAGAAAGCTTTCAGTCTTTCATCATTGAGTATAATGTTATCTGTGGGTTTTTCAAATAGATTTTTATTATGCTAAGGTCGTTTCTTTCTATTTCTGGTTTGTGGAGTGTTTTGTTTTTTTTGTTTTTTTATCATGAAAGGATGTTGAATTTGGTTAAACGCTATATCTGCATCAATTGAGATGATCATATGTTTTTTTCTTCATTCTGTTAATGTAGTGCATTACATTGACTGATTCTGTATGTTAAACCTTCTTTACATTCCAGAAACAAATCCCACTTGGTCTGGTGCATAATCTTTTTAATATGCAGCTGGATGGAATATTCACCAAGTGCCAGGAGGAGGGGACTGACGTGGTGGAGATGGGTAAACGCACAATTAATGGGTGCGGAGCACACTGTATGGGGGATGGGTACACTTGTAGCTCTGGCTTGGGTGAGACAAGGGCATTATATGTAACCAAACTGTCTGTACCCCCATAACACACTGAAATATATGTGTGTGTGTGTGTGCTGCTGGATTTGGTTTGCTAATATTTTATTGAGGATTTTTGCATTTATATTTATAAGGGATGTTGGTGTGTAGTTTTCTTCATAGTGTCTTTATCTGCCTTTGGCATCAGGGTAATACTGAGCTCTCAGAATGAGTTAGGAAGTGTTTCCTATTCTTCAATTTTTTGGAAGAGTTTGAGGAGGGTTGACATGCATTCTTATTTATGTTTTGTAGATTTTGCCAGTGAACCCACCTGATCCTGAGCTTTCTTTGTTTAAAAGTTTTAATTCCTAATTCAGTCTCTGTACTCATTATATATCTATTCAGATTTTCTATTTCTTCTGGAGTCAATTTTGATAGTTTGTGTGCTTTCAGGAATTGTTTAATTTCATCTAGGTTATCCAATTTATTGGCATGCAAAATGTTCATATTATTCTCCTATAATCCTTTTTGTTTCTGGAAAAGTAGTAGTAATGTTCCACTTTTCATTTCTGAATTAATGAGTTATCTTTTTTGGGTTTTTTTTTTTTTTTTTTTTTTGGGGGGGGGTTTTTTTTTTTTTTTTTTTTTGGTTAATCTAGGTAGAGGTCTGTCAATTTTGTTGATCTTTTGAGTAACCAACTTTTGGTTTCATTGATTTTCTTCTATAGTTTTTCTATTCTCTATTTCATTTCTTTCTACTATATACTTTACTATTTCCTTCTTTCTGCTAGCTTTCAATTTGATATGCTGTTCTTTTGCTAGTTCCTTCAGGTATATAGTTAATTACTTGAAGTCTTTATTCTTTTGTAATGAATGTATTTATATAGCTGCAATTTCCCTCTTGGCATTGCTTTTGCTGCATCCCACAAGTTTTGGTATGTTGTGTGTGATTCTCATTCATCTCAGAGTAATTTCTAATTTTCCTTTTGATCTCTTCTTTTACCCATTATTTATTTGAGAGTGTGTTGCTTAATTTTCACATATTTGTAAATATTCCAGTTTTCATTTTGTTGTAGATTTCTACTTTCATTCCATTGTTATCTGAAAAGATACCTTGTACAATTTCTATCTTGTTCATTTTGTTGAACTTGTTTTGTGTCCTAACATAGGGACAATCCTGGGGAATATTCCACGTGCTTCAGAAGAATGTATATTCTGCTGTTGTTGGGTGAATTTTTCTGTATAGGTCTATTAGATATCATTGGTTTATAGTATTGTTCAGGTCATCTATTTCTTTAGTGTTCTGTCTAGTTGCTCTGTCCCTTATTGAAAGTAAGATATTGAAATCTCCAACTATTCTCGTCTTTAGTAAACCTTTTGTTTTAACCCTGTTTTGTCTGAAAATAATATAGCCACCCAGCTCTCTTTTGGCTATTTTTTGCACGTATACATATTCCATCATTTTACTTTCAATCTCTTGTGTTCTTATACCCTAAGTAAATCCCTTGTAGACAATATACACATAGATGAGGATTTTTTAAATCCAATCTCTTAATCTCTTCTTTTTAATGGTTTAATCAATTTACATTAATGTGATTACTGACAAAGAAGTATTCAAGCTGACATTAATTTTTTTTTTTTCAGTCAGAGTCTCACTCTGTAGCCCGGACTAGAGTGCCATGGCGTCAGCCTAGCTCACAGCAACCTCAAACTCCTAGGCTCAAGCAATCCTACTGCCTCAGCCTCTCAAGTAGCTGGGACTATAGGTATGCACCACCATGCCTGGCTAATTTTTTCTATATATATTTTTAGTTGGTCAATTAATTTCTTTCTATTTTTAGTAGAGACGGGGGTCTTGCTCTTGCTCAGGCTGGTCTCAAACTCCTGACCTTGAGTGATCCTCCCGCCTCAGCCTCCCAGAGTGCTAGTATTACAGGCTTGAGCCACCGGGCCCAGCCTAAGCTGACATTTAGCTAATTGTTTTGTGTGTTGTATTTTTTTTCCTCAATTTTCCATTACTGTTTTTAGTTGGCTTTTTATAATGTTCCATTTTGATTTCCCTTCTTTATTCTTTTACTATATATTTTTTAGTTATTTTCTTATGGTTACATTAAGAACACCTAGTTAAATTTAAACATCTAGTTATCTTAAACTTATAACAACTGGCTGAGCAAGGTGACTCATGCCTGTAATCCCAGCATCTGGGGAGGCCAAGGCCAGAGGATCACTTGATACCAGGAGTTTGAGACCAGCCTGGGCAACAAAACAAGACTCAATCTCTACAAAACTGTTTTTAAAAACTTAGCCAGACATGATGGCATGTGCCTGTAGTCCCAGCAACATAAGAGGCCAAGGCAGGAACATTGCTTGAACCCAGGAATTTAAGGTTATGATGAGCTATGGTTGGGCACTATACTTTCAGCCTGAGCAACAGAGCAAGACCCCACCCTCTAAAAATAGAAATTAAAAAAAATTATAAACTTACAACAACCTAGTTTGAATAGTACCAGCTTAGTTTCAATAGTATACACTCTGCTCCTATATATTGTCATTCCCTCATTCCCTTTCCCCTTTGTATTGTTATTTTTATTGTCACAGATTACATCTTTATACATTGTACATCCATTAACATAGATTTTTTTCATTGTTATTTTATGCATTTGCCTTTTTTTTTTTTTTTTTTTGAGACAGAGTCTCGCTTTGTTGTCTAGGCTAGAGTGAGTGCCGTGGCGTCAGCCTAGCTCACAGCAACCTCAGACTCCTGGGCTTGAGTGATCCTTCTGCCTCAGCCTCCCGAGTAGCTGGGACTACAGGCATGCACCACCATGCCCGGCTAATTTTTTATATATATATCAGTTGGCCAATTAATTTCTTTCTATTTATAGTAGAGACGGGGTCTCGCTCTTGCTCAGGCTGGTTTCGAACTCCTGACCTCGAGCAATCCGCCCGCCTCGGCCTCCCAGAGAGCTAGTGCTGTTTTTTCTTGTCAAGGTCTGACACCATCCATGTGTGACTTTTTCAAACCATTTTTGTAAAGTGTATATTCCTTGTTATGTGAGGGTACTGAATTTCCTGTTTTGTTATCTCTGAGGCCAGTGACCTGATAAAGGCTTCCTTAAGTGTCTATCTCCCAAAGGAGAACAAAACAAAAATGGTCTCTTCAAATCCCCTCAACAGCCCATTGGGTTTTTAAATAGATGTTTAACATTTAAACAATGGTCACTCTCAGTGCCAGCCCCTTGGTAATCTAAAGTAGCAATCAGCAATCAAAACACACACCCCAAGTTTTGGAGGACCAGGTCCCTATTTCCACCCTGGCACCAGCAAGCCTTACCAGGTATACAGACTGCTATTCACATAATAGCTGCCTGCCACAGGGCTTGGAGAATAGTAGCACTACATGAAATGGTGAAATTCACCAAAATTTATAAGCCTTTTTATCAAGCTCACTGCTGGACATTGCATGTGTTCAACTAGACACCAATGCTCTATAACCGCTACTTAAGTCAGTTCTTGCCAGCACCATTGTTGTTTTGGTAAAGGTACAGATTCCTGGAGCTTCTCACCCCACTGTCTTCCACCCAGGCCTTAGTTATCTCAAATGAACCTAGGAATTGAGATAATTGGTAAATGAGAGGCTTGGAATAGCTCAGTGAGTCGCAGCCTAGAATCACCAGCAGGGATTTAAAAACTACTGATGCAAAGGTCTCACCCCACACCACAGAATCTGATTGCTGGGATTGGAGTGAAATGTCTCTTTTTACCATATGGATATGGGATTCTCCTGCTCCCAGAAGATGGCCCTGCTCCTGCTACATAGATTACTCTTTGAGCAGCAGGGTCCTTTCCAAGTGTTTACTTCCTATCTTTCGCTTAATTCCTTGGCACTTTGACACTTAGAGGAACAAATTCAAGCCTCAAGGCAAAGCACTTGCTTTCCTTTCAGTGCAGCAGGAGCAGGTCACCTGGGAGACAACCACAAGGAGAAACCTGTAACTCTTCAAATACAGCCGAAAGGTTTAACATGAGGAGGTTACTTACCAAATATTTTTGCCAAGTGTTCCTCTCGCTTAGTTGAATTTGATGAAAATTCAGAATTGTTCAAGCTCTTTTCTTGGGAATAACCTGTGGCAAATAAACCTTAGCTGAGATTAAACCTTTTGTTGGATCTGTGTGTATTCTCTTTAAATGAATACTCTTCTGCATAGTATTAGGAGAGGAGCATGATACAGCTGGCCTACACTCACCTATTCTGAATGTCACAGAGCATCCATGAACTATCTGTAATCATCTGAAGTTCCAGCACAAAACCAGGAACTAAGCTCATTTTCACAAGGTTTCTTTTTTAAAAAAAAATTTTTTTTTAAGAGAAAGGGTCTCGCTCTGTTGCCTAGCTATTCTCGAACTCTCAGCCTCAAGTGATCCTCCTACCTTGGCCTCCCACAGTGCTGGGATTACAGGCATGAGCTATCACACCTGGCCCACAAGGTTCTTGACAGATAATATGCACAGCAATTGAGCAATTTGTACACATGGCAGCTTTAATTCTATAAGAAAGTTGGTAGAGAGGCCTGCATGGCATATGCCAAATGATTTCAAGTATGGCTACTTTCATCCAGTACATGGCAAATACACAGTTCTCTGTTAGTGAGACATTGGTATATCAGAAATAGGTACACTTAATCATGCAAGCACTTTGCTAAAAATGTGTTCATCATATTGTGTCAGCCAAGGGCATAATAAAATGTGGTGCAGGGCAAGCTAACAAGATTATGCAGTAAAATATTCACACTTTTTCTTAATTGTGTGGCTTATGCATTGACATTAGTTGTAAAATTGGTTTACTGATAGTCTTATAATTCACAGCACACATGCCTGGCTTATTCTGATAACTGATTAGCCATTTTTAGTTTTCTTCCTGATGTAGATATTGTCTGTCTTAAAGGGTTTCTCTGTTATTTATGTTATTTGGGGCTAATATGTGGGAGTTTCTTGTTTGTTTGTTTGTTTGTTTGTTTTTCCATGTGAGGCCAGCTGCTTCCTCTGGGCTTTGGCATTTGAACATCAGTACTAAATCAGCTCTGCTGCAGTGGGAAAATATTGTACAGAGACTGGGGTCGGGGTGGAGGTGATAGGGAGAGATATGAGAAGGCTTTGCTCTCCCAAGCCAGTGACTGGGGCACTCGTGGCCAGGCAGTGAACTATAAAGTGCTGATGAGTAGAAAGTTATCACACTACTCACAGCTCATGATGCAAGGAATGGTGAAGCCAATTGCAAATCGGTTTCCTATCCTCCGAACAGCCTCCAGAGTGGCAGAACCTGCCTAACTCTACGCATCAGGTATCACCCCAAAATACAGGGATGGTCACACCTTAGACCATAGACTCCCACAGTTGGTGGAAGGTTATAGAGAGGATTTCAGACAACTCCTTCTTTCTCATCTCAATTTGTTTTTTCTCTACAAGTAGTTGGCTTAAAGAATGCTAAAATGGTAAGGTAGTATAAATCATACAATACATAGGCCTATCGAAGTATCAGCACTTATTGTAACAATGTATACTTGCTTTCTTTCATGCTTCTCCTTGTAATTGATTCAACTGATGTTCTTGTTCCATCAAATGGTGATTCATATGGAACTTTGGAAAATACTTGCAGTAGAATTTCATCTCAAGCAAAGCAAACAAAGGCATGTTAATACTGGCAATGCAGGATTAATATATTTTGCTCTCTAAGTACCTAAGGTGGTTTATGAATACAGTGAATAAATGATACAAAAATCAATCAATATGGGGCATTACGCCCTAAAATGGCTTGTCTTAGGAAGGGAAACTCCAACTACCTAAATTATTCCTGGAAAATTGTAATTGCATGAGATATCCTGGACAGTAAACACTGTCCACTAAGTATATGGCCCCAAATATCATGATATTTAGTACTATAATTTTCCTTCTTGTTCCTGTTGTCACTCTGACCCACCACTGAGAGTATCCCCAAGCCACCCTTGTATATGAACAAATGGCTTTCCTGTTTCTACAAGATACACATCATTTTCTTCCTTTAAGATTTTATTCCCTTTCCTAAGACACTTCACACAATGAAAATCCTGATTTTGTGGCAGACAGACCTAGACCCAAACCCTGATTTTACTCTTTACCAAAATATGAGCAAGTAACTTCACCTCTTTGATCTTCGGTTCCCACACCATTAGGATGGGGATACTATTATTCAACTCATGGGACTTTTGTGAAAATTGGATAAAACAATGTCTGTAAAAGTGTTAAGCACAATGACAGTGTAAGGATCATGCTGGAGGCAAAATATCTGGAAAGTATCCATCACCATCTTTTTTATAACAATAACCCCCAGAGCAGCTAATAAATGCTGCTGCACAAGTGGAATATGTAAGTCAAGAATATAAAAAAACACAATACAAAGGAAACAAAGATGTCACTAATATATGACAGGAAAAAGAGGAGCCTGCTGCAGATTCTATGGCACTTCCATCCCCACTCTTCCATACCCATGCTCCCTGGCAGCCAGGGCAGGGGCATGGGACATGCAGAGGTCCTCAGAAGGCTCCTGGGACCCAGGAAGAGTGTTGCTCCTCTGGATAGAAGAGATAGAAGTACTGGGGCTGTGCTTTCCCATCCCCTTTTCCTCCTGCCTTGAAAGCAGACGTGATGGCTGGGGCTGCGGAAGCCATCTTACCACTAAGAGACACAAGCACAGGGAAGATCCTATCATCTCAGAGAAACTGGCCCTACCTGAGCTACTATATCAAAGCCATGTTGCCTCCCTCAGATTGCTTGTGACAGATGGAAAATAAACCACTCCCTATTTAATCCACTGTAAGTCGGGTTTTGGGGTAATTGCAGCCAAGTGCATTTCTAACTGGCACATGTGACTATGGCAACACGTGGACTCCCCTCGCTGAGATGATCTTGGCTGCTCCGTTGTTATGACCCATTATTGTTCGGAGGAACCAAGCCTAAGTTCTTAAAGATCATAATGCTCGTGTAGATTGGGATAGAGTAGAAGACTACATATCATTCATACGACAAGCTTTTACCGAGTCCTAGCTCTGCAAAGAAACCATTGAGGTGCTGGGGTTCTCAAAGGAGGGTGACCTGCTCTGTGCTCTGCATCCCTGAGCCACCTAGACACATGGAAGAGGCACGCAAGTACACAGACGACCAGACACACTGACAAAGCCACACAGAGCAGCAAAGCAAGGGCCAGGGGCAGAGAGGAGAGAAGAAATCCAACTGGGCCATGGCGGCCTTCTAGAAGACAGGCACTTGGCCGAGCAGACTTCAGGAGGGAGAAGCGGGCCCTGCTGGGTGAGGCTGAGTTCTGGATCCACTGGATCATGGTATTTACTGAGACCCCAAGGTCCCTCCTGTTCACAGCTGTTGAATGCCCCTGTCAACTCTCTTCACCAACAATCTGGTGCTCATGGTCTCACGGCAGCCCTGGTGGGCCAGTGTGTGACATGCAAGACACCTGGAAACAGCCTCTTGGGGACACTAACCAATGAGCTACAAGCATCATGAAAAGTCCTCCAAGCAGTCATCGAGAGGTGGCCACAGACCGACACAGACCATGCCAAGATCACAGGTGACACCTCCCATCCCCTGGGACATCAGGGAAGGACCTGGAGTGAGAAGGGCCTGACCCCAACACTTCCATAACATTAGGACTGCCCAGGACCCGATAAACCCAAAGGGAAAGGCTGCCCTCAGCTTTAAAACTTATTTACAAATGTTGTTTATGAAAATTACACCCATAAAAATGGGGCGGAGGCTGTGGGGTAGAAATAGAACAGATTCTATAAGCTCACACAGCTCTTTGGTCATAAAACTGCTGCTAATTTTTCAGGGTTATATTTTTTGAAATATATTAAGTTCTCCTTCCCTTTTCAAGATTTTAGGCTTCTACTTTCCCTTCTAGATTTTCTTGCTAAGACACAGAAAACAATGCTCAAAAATCCCATTCATTTTGTACATATCCCCAGGCCATGTTCAATGGCTCTTGGTATTTTGGTGGGGGTTCTTCTCACTTGCTGGACTAGTTGCTTAGGACAGAGACAGGATAGAGACACTGGAAAATAACTGTCAGAGTCACCAGGAAGATGATGAGTTCTCCTCACCACCCTCTCCTTGATGAATGTGCTGACCTGCAAGTTCCTGAAAATGCTACTCAGAGAAAACCTGGTGGGTTGAGAATGCAATGCCAGGCCCCACACTGGCTCATGCTGGGCAGGTCAGCAGGCCTTTGGGGGGGGGGGGTGACAGGATCTTCCCAAACCCTGAATCAGACTCCTGCCTTCAGATGCACCGGCTCCCCTCCCACATATGTGGGACTGGATACAGAGACACTGGGTCACCTACAAGGACAAAAACAAGCCTCCTGCCTCCTAGACAGCAGGTGCTAAAGCACAGCGAGTGGGACTCCAAGTGCTGCCTACCACTGTTCATTCATTCCGTCCTGGTCACCTGCCAGTCGGCCATCAATGCAGATTGCCTGAGCCTCTGTGATGGCACACGTGGAGTGGAGCAAACCCAGGGCTCCTGACATGGGGTGGCTCCCAAACAAAGGATCCACCAGGTGTCAAGAGATGTCCCCCTCGCAAGCAGGAATCAGCAGGCACCGCTCTGTGGTCACAACACCTCTGCTCCGGCAGCTCCTGACCCAGAAGGAGGCATCAGGCTCACTCTCCCGGGAGCACCTTCTCACACCTGAGGCCCCCTCAGTCTCCACGCCTGACCTGCACACAGGTGCCAGGGAGGAGACCGCATGGCATCGGGACAGCAGATGGCTGTGGTTCAGACCCGAATTCTCAATCTCAGCTCTCTGCTACAGAGGAATTGCCTGGGCCTTAGTTTTTCTCAGATGTTAAATGAAAGGCTTAAAGGGGATCAATGAGTCTTAGCCTGGAGTCCCCTGGAGGGTTTTAAAAACTAGTAATGCAAAGCTCTCTCTCCACACCATAGAATCCTCACTGTCTCTGTCTCCACTATTAAAAGGAGAATTCTCCCAGGGCATTTCCATGCGCAATTAGGGCTGAGAACCCCGGGAGAAGCTCAGCTCAGCCTCAGGGCCTTGCCATCCCTAACTCTGCAGA